AGCAACTAAAGGACCAGAAAGTTCTACTATCTACGTAATTTTGTATTCATCTCTATATTATCAGTTATTATTCCCTTTCTTATGCTCAGCTATAATTATGATTTAATTATATCGTTATTACATGTTCTTTGAAAATGCATAGTTTGCATTTTGAAGGTACAAAAGTTTGGTTCCCAGGCAGTTTCATGTTTTTCTTATGCTACAGTCAATTAGCTTAAAGGAAGCTTCTCAACTAGAATTGCCATGTGATGTATGTAGTATGTTTGTTTTCGCCTTTTTAGTGAAGTAGTTTACTGTTAACCCTTTGTTGCTGCTGAAAGAATTTGTGTTTCCTTAAACTTTTGACATCACGATTAGATAAGATTTTAAGCCTTGCCCTCTAAGTTGTAAGTGATTGTAGTGTCAGTTTTTAGGCTTTGTCCATTACTAAATATTTACTATTTTGTTAAAATCTCAGTGCATAAACTTTAGGAGAAATTGGTTTGCAGACTTTTTCAATGATCAATGCAATCTTGACTTTTTGACAAATGGGAAGGTTTTGTGGATCTGAACAGTGATTTATGAAGAAACTGCAAAAGTGGACAGAAGCTCGACACGGGTATAGTGTCGACACGTTCTTTTGGTGTCGACACCATATGGTGAGCATCTAATACTCCGACACGGACGTGGTGTTGACACAAATTTTGGGTGTCGACACCATATGGCAGGCGCCCAAAACATTTAGTATGATACCTGTCAAGTATGATGTATGGGTTTGGGGTACTTCTTGTACTTTGGATATTAATAAATATTAATTTTTTCTGTTCAAAAAAAAAAATGATCAATGCAATCTTGACTTTTTGATCTTGGAGAGATAGGTGAAGAAGAAAAGAAGGTGAAGTTGGGAAAAAGGAAATGGATGAGAGAAGTAGAGAGAGAGGGAGAAGAGAGCGAATCGGACTCCGACCCTGGGACAGACAGAAGGCCCTCAACAGGAAGTTTGGCGGATGTAGTCGGAGCAGAAACCAGAGGATTAGGGATTCGGCTGAGAGGGGGAAAGCAAGGAATGATCAAATCAAGAGTCCAATGTTGCAGAAAGATGGGCCTTATAACTGGGGTTTATACAAACAAGCAACCTCTTTTTTCTTTACCAATTGCCCAGACGATTGGAAATATGAAGAAATGTGGAGTACGTTTTTGAAGTTTGGCCGAGTTTATGTTATCTATTCTCCAAATAGAAGAAGCAGAAGAGGAAGTAGATTCGGCTTTGTGAGAATTCTTGGGGTGAATGATAAGAAGGAAATGGAAAGAAAGTTGAATCAGATTTGGGTTAGAGGTCGCAAACTGTGGGTGAACTTGCCAAGATTCGATTGTGAGAAGAAGGAGGTTGGGGTAAAAAGAAACTATATCGGCAGGATGGCAAATGTTCAGAGTAGAAGTTATGCTGAGGTGGTAAAAGGACCACAAGAGAAGGAGATGACAGGGGATCAAAGCACACAGAGCAAGGTTGATCGTGACAGAGATAGAAATACCGTAAATGAAGCTAAGAAGAATGCAGGGCAGGACTTGCAAAGGAGTCACGATCATCGGCAACCTGGAAATAGGAGAGTGTGGAAAGAAAAAGGAAGAGGAGACAGCTGGGCTGGGTTGGAGTTTAACAACAATCCGGAAGAGTGGGATTGGCTAGAGGGTAGCTACGTTGGGATAGTGCACTCGGTGGAGATGGTGCGCAACCTTCAAGAAAAATTTTATATGGAGGGGTATTTTTCTTGTCAAGTCCGAGCAATGGGTGGCAAAATGGTTCTGTTAACTGGACAGGACAAGGAGGAAGTGAAGGACTTAGTGGAAATGGCATCGGATTGGTTGAGGCGCTGGTTTGAAGAAGTGAGGCCATGGACACCACAAATGACAGCAAAAGAGAGATTTGTGTGGATAAGGTGTCAAGGAGCTCCACTGAATGTTTGGGGAAGTGATTTCTTTACAACCATGGGTAGTTCATGGGGCAAATTTATTTGCTTGGATGACAGCACAAGCAAGAAGGTGCGGTTTGATGTTGCTAGATTTCTGATTTCTTCTTCAATTATGGAGACAATCAATGTTACAAGGGAAATCAAAATCAATGGAAGTTTGTTCAAGCTGAAATTCTCAGAGGAGGAAAACACTAATTGCTTCTTCTCAGTGAAACAAGATTTTATGCCTTCCTTTAGTAGTGAATCAGAGGATCATGAAACATGGTCCACCGGTTCAGAATCGGAGATGCGGGACGAGGAAGATGGAAGGAGGAAGGAAAAGCTTTCAGCCGGTTGTTCAACCGAAGAAGATGATGATGACGTAGTGAGACGTAAGAGTGATGAAGAAAGAAGAAATGAAGTCCAATCCAGCAAGAGAGTAGGGGATTGTGCAGAAGCCGTTGGTGACAACCTGGAAAAAATTCAAAATTCAAATGAAAGTGTAAGTGGTAGGCGGTCTAAAGTTGCGGCTGCAGGTCAGATGGTGAAGGCTTTTGGTTCGGTAATTGGAGAATCAAAAACTGAGAATTATACCAATAAAATGAAGCCCAATGGCTCGGTATCCAGGCCCACTTTGAAGGGAGAAAATCCAATGGCAATGGAATCCATTAACGCGGATATGGCCCATAAAGAAACTCTAATAGAGTCCCCAATTTCAGACCAAAACAGAGTCATGTCGGGAACCGAAAATTCTGCAGAAGAGAAGGGCGAGGAAGAAGAAGATGCATTCTGGAAGGGTCATGAATCAGAGAGAAGCCGAATAGAAGACTGGATCGGGAAACAACTGGAGGAAATCAACTCAAAAAATGGTAAAAGGAAGGTCAGAAGATGCAGCTCGGTGTATTCCCAACCCAGAAATAGAGTAGCTCCGGCGGAAAAAAAAAGAGGAAGAAAGAAGAAGATCGTGCAGCAGGTAGATGAGGGACCAGAACCAATGTTCATGCCGAACCAGGAGGGGAAAGTTGCTGGAGGATCAATAGGGGACAGTGACATAAACAATTGCAACAGGGCATTGAAGAAACAATGGCAATCCCAACTCGCAAAGGAGATTTGGGACTTGGCGACGCAGCTAGGGGCGGTGGCGGAGAATGATAATGAGGTGATTCAACGAATTGAGGAGATGGAGGACAGAGATCGAAGCTCAAAAAGGAGTATGGTTAACCGAGAGGGTGAAGAGGGTGGGAAGGTATGTGATGCACTAAATGATTTTTATGTCATTTAATATTAGGGGGCTTGGAGGGGTAGGGAAGAAATCACAGATAAGGGAGTTAGTTATCAAAGAAAAAGTTCAATTTTTAGCAATTCAAGAATCTAAGATGGACGCAGTTGATAGGAAAATTTGTAGATCTTTATGGAGGTCGGAGGATTTGGATTGGGTTGCTAAATCTTCTAATGGAATGTCCGGAGGTTTGATATGCATTTGGGACAGTAAAATGCTGAAGAAGAAAGAGACTATAGAAGGTGAAAATTTTTTAGGAGTGTTTGGACTGTGGGGACTAGAGGAGAATCCAGTGTTCATAATAAACATCTATTCTCCATGTCAAATTACAAAAAAAAGGGCCTTATGGGAGGAGCTGCATAATTTGATTACTAATAGAAGGGGGATGTGGTGCTTAATAGGGGATTTTAACGCTGTAAGGAGGGCTGAGGAAAGAGCAGGGTGCAAGATGGTGTCCAATGAAATGAGGGAGTTTGATGCTTTCATCCACAACAGTGATTTAGTTGATTTGCCTTTAATAGGGAGAAAATATACCTGGTATAATTCAAATGGGAATCAAATGAGCAGGATTGATAGATTTCTGTTTTCAGAAGAATGGGTATCAAAGTGGAGCGATTTGAAACAGTGGGGATTGAGGAGGAATGTATCAGATCACTGCCCTATAATGATAAAAAATGAGCAAGTCGACTGGGGTCCAAAACCGTTCAGATTTTTCGATGCTTGGTTGGATCAACCGGGTTGTAAGGAGGTGATTAGGAGTGCATGGTGTGACAATGAGGTGGACGGCTGGTATGGATTTAAAATTAAAGAGAAGTTGAAAAGAACAAAGAAGGCACTAAAGGACTGGAGTGGTAAAAACAACAGGGAGATGGATGAAAGAATAAGGAATGCAGAGTCGGTGATCGCGGCTGTTGATGAGAAAGGAGAGCAGCACCAGTTGACAGAAAGTGACGTAGAATTAAGGAGGAATAGTTTTATTGAGTTGTGGAAGAATTTAAAAATCAAGGAGAGGATGAGTCAACAAAAATCAAGAAAACAGTGGCTGAAGGAGGGTGACGCGAACACAAAATTCTTTCACAGAAGCATTAAGGGAAGATGGAGCAAGAATGAGATTAATAGTGTCCGGATAAATGGGGAACAGTATACAGGAGTGGAGGTATTAAAAAGAGAGATTGCTAAATACTTCCAAGACTTGTTCACAGAAGAAAAATGGAGGAGACCAAGGTTAGATGGAATAAGCTTTAGGCAAATTACTAAGGCTGATAATGAGCTCCTCACGGCTGCATTTTCGGAACAAGAAATTAAAGAAGCAATATGGGACTGTGACCCTTCCAAATCTCCAGGACCAGACGGATTCAATTTCAGATTTATCATGTCAATGTGGGATGTTATAAAAGCTGATATTGTCAACTTTGTTCGGGAGTTCCAACAGCATGGTAGAATGGTCAAAGGGTCAAATGCTTCCTTCATTGTGCTAATTCCAAAATCAGAAAATCCACAAGCAATTGAGGAATTTAGACCAATTTCCTTGATAGGAGTCTCTTACAAAATCATTGCTAAGCTTCTAGCAAATCGTTTGCGGAAGGTGCTGCCCAAGGTGATTGGGGAGCAGCAGATGGCTTTTATCGAAGGTAGGCATTTAATGGACGGAGCAGTGATTGCAAATGAGGTTATTGATGAGGTTAAGAGGAAAAAGAAGAAGGGATTTCTATTTAAAGTCGATTTCGAGAAAGCCTATGACAAGGTATGCTGGGAATTCTTAGATTATATGATGACAAGGATGGGATTCTGTGCAACTTGGAGGAAATGGATTCAGGAGTGCTTGGAATCGAGCTCGGTGTCTATTCTTGTCAACGGCAGTCCGACGAACCAATTCCCAGTTAATAAAGGCATTCGCCAAGGAGATCCATTATCCCCGTTCTTATTCCTCATAGTGGCAGAGGGCTTGAATGGACTAGTGGCATCGGCAGTGGAGAAAGGGAGGTACAAAGGAGTGGAAATTGGGAGCGGAGATGTAACGGTCACACATCTTCAATTCGCGGATGACACAATCTTTTTTGGAGATGCAACGGAAGACAACATTCGGGTGATCAAATGTATTATGAGGACATTCGAGTTAGCATCGGGACTGAAAATTAATTTCAAGAAGAGCCAGTTGATTGGTGTGAGAGTTGATCAAAGTTGGTGTGATAAGATGGCATTTCAGCTGTGTTGTAAGGAAGGGAAACTGCCATTGAGATATCTGGGAATACCAATCGGAGGGAATCACAGAAGAAAAGCTATGTGGCAGCCGATGGTTGAGTCTGTTAGAAGGAAGCTAGCCAGCTGGAGGGGACGGTATCTATCTATGGGAGGCCGTATCACACTCATCAACTCAGTGCTGTCGAGTCTACCAGTTTTCTTGATGTCTACCTATGTTATCCCAAAAGGTATAATTCATATCATTGATAAATTGCGTAGAAGTTTTTTATGGGGGGGGAAGGGAGACGAGAAAAAAATTAATTGGATTGGATGGGATAAAGTGTGTAAAAAAAAAGAGGAAGGAGGTTTAGGAGTGAGGGATTTAAGGAAATTCAATTTGGCATTGATGGGGAAATGGTGGGGAAGGCTTGCAGAAAATGGGGAGGGCATGTGGAAAAAAATTATTGGTGCAAAATATGGAAAGGGAGGGGGGCATTGGCAGGACTGGATAGAGGAAAGTAGAGAAGTAGGATCAGTTTGGTGGAGGGATGTGTGTGGTATTAATGCAATGGATGGGGAAAGTATTGGATGGCTAAAAGAGGGATTTAGGGTTAAGATTGGGGAGGGTAATACGGTTAGTTTCTGGTGGGACAAATGGAGGGGAGAAGAAAGTCTAGCTAATATGTTTCCAAGATTGTACTTGCTAGCTACAGATAAGACGAAGACGTGTAGTGAAATGGGAAATAGAACTAATGGTTTGTGGGAGTGGAATTTATCTTGGAGAAGGAGTTTGTTTGAATGGGAAAAAGAGGAGGCAAAGGAATTGCAAAACTCGATTCAAAAAGTGCAACTGTCACAAGGATGCATGGATAGCTGGGAGTGGATACACAACAAGGACGGCCAATACTCAACAAAATCAGCATACTCAATATTGATGAAGGAAGGGAGGGAAGCAAGGGAAATTACAACCTTTTGTAGAATTTGGAACTCTGTTTTGCCAAGTAAAATTTCAGCATTCAATTGGCAATTGCTACTTGACAGGATTCCAACTAAAAGGAATCTGTTGACAAGAGGGATAATCAAGGACAATCAAGATTGCAAATGCGGAATTTGTGGTGAGGAAGAAGAGGATTCAAAGCATCTGTTTCTGGAGTGTAGTATGGTCCGATGGGTATGGATGGCTTGTGCAAAATGGTGGGGTATCAATGTTACTTTAGGGGCGGACTGCTGGAATACCTTTCAAGTGGCTGGAAGAGAACTAAAAGAGAAAGGTGTTAGAGAAGGGTGGGATTGCATTTGGAATTCTCTTGTGTGGACAGTGTGGCTGGCTCGAAATCAAAAAACATTCCAAGGCAAAGAGATTAATAGGGAGAAGCTGCTGGAACTAATCCAATTAAAATCGTTCCTTTGGATCACAACAAAAAAAGAAAGGTACGCCTTCACTTTAACGGATTGGTTTCTTAACCCAGTGGCATGCTTGAAAGATGACTGTAGAAAGAGAAGGGTTCCATATATATAATATGGGGGAGGGTTGGTAGTGCTGATAGATGGATTAAGGTGCTATGTAATGGGGACTCACGTAGGATTATTGAGCAATCATTGACTGCAGTGGATCAACTATAGTCAATGCATGATCAATAGCTTGTGGGTCAGTAGGTGTGTCGGGTGTGGGCTGTGGTCCTAAACAGGGAGATTTCTTGTGATTACAAAAGAGAGCAGGTTTCCCGTCACGGGTGTAGTGTCGACACTTCTTCTGTGGTGTCGACACCTTGCGTTAATTTTTGTTGTACATGGGTTTGGAGTACCCCTTGTATTCCGCTTACTAATTAATAAAAGTTTGTT